GCCAGCGCAGGGACAGGGAGGACGTCTCCTGCTCGCTTGTCGCCTCTCGCAGGCCTGCAGCGCCAGACGCTGGGGGCGGGAGGAGAAAGGGTGGGCGCTCTCGACCCTCTTTGCTGCATTGCCGCCTGGCCCTGCCCTGTCTACTGCCGGGGACACCAAGGCCTGGACTGGGAATCACAGTTCTCGCACTCCTTACCGTGCAGGCATTAAAAACAAAAAAAAATCCGTATGTTATTTTCTCCTGATTCCTTTCCCATTTTCCCCAGTACCGTCCACTTTACAAAAGTTAACAACAGAAAGCATTGCACTGCTTTAAACATGCCCCACAGTTATGCAGTTGATTATCCATCCGTGGCTACTACTCAGGGGGGTCGCTCTTGCATAGGATGCTGGCATTTATGTGTCTACCTGGAGAACTGTAAATGTTCACCTGAAGAGGTAACATTAACTTTCCGTGGGCACCGTCGCTACCGTTGGGCTCAACTGGCTGCAATTTTCTGAGCTCCTAAGTGCTACCTGGGTGAGAAAAAAAAAAAAAAGGGAAAAAAAAAGTCTGCCGGGCTACTGAGCAGGCTCAGATCCTCTTTAGAAATTGTGAAACCTGAAAGCAAGGATCTTGGTATTGACCTTAGGTAAGAGGAAATGAGAAAGCGAAAGAAGATATGGGTGGGAACACAGAGGGACGTTTCAGAATACCTCCAGCAGTGCCTGGGAGGAGAAGGGGTTAAAAGAAAGAAAAAAGCACATGACTGTTAAGACAGTGCTTGCCATAGACACTAGATTGGGAAGGTCTTTACTGTTAAGTACTCCTTAACTAGCTGTGTAACTAGCAAGCGCCCTCATCAGTCTGAGATTTAATTTTCTTGTCTGTACAATGATGAGGTTAAATGAGGTCATCGCTCTAAGGTGCTTTCTGGTTCTAACAGTCCAAGAAAGTCCAAGGACTTTCTCCCACAGCTGAAGTTTTCATTATATTAGAGTTAACCTGCTGGCAATCGCAAAGGATTTTGATCATCCAACTTTTGACATCATTGGAGAGATTCATTATATTTTTTCAGAAAATACCAGTTATTTGTGAGCCACAGTGAGAAAAGACAACAGTGTTAGTTTTGCTTTCCCTTCCTTAGCACTGTGGAATTCTTCGAGAACCCCATCTCTGAATAGCCCTCTCTTATCTTGTCCTTGTCCCCCTGTTCTCCTTATACTCTTATTCCTTTTTTGACTTGTACGACTCATTAAAACTTTGGAGATGTGTAAATCTCAGTTCCAGGGGCATTTGTAACTCTGGATGTAGAAATAAGCATGTGGTGGTCATTTGGTAGCACTTAAAGGCTTAGAAAATTAACTTCTTAAAGCCCATGTGTTTGCAGCTTCCACTGATCTCTTCCGAATTCCCACTGACTATCAGTCAAGAGTGTCATGACCTAGTGGCCAACCTGGGGTCACTTTTGGAAAGTGGTTTTTAAATTGAGGAGGCTTGAGATTCTGATTCTAAAGGACTTTGTGACACCAGGTGGCTCAGTTCTCTGCTGTCAAGGATGACTGCACTCCAGTCATTACAGAAAAATAGTCTAACTACCAGAAGGATTTAGAAATGGACACAAATGTGATAATACTTATAGGTAGAGCAGGTAGAAGTTAAGCTTAGATTCCCTGCAATACACAGTGTAGTTCTGGAAATTTTGCTTTTAAGACACTTGTAATTCAACTGTAATCTCCCAAAGACTGAAAAAAAAAAAAAAAAAAGAACCCCCCCCCCCAAATGCTGCTGCTTCTTTGTGTCTGTTTATAAGACCGACCCCATGGCAAGAGATTAGTAAATATTTGTTAACTTGATAACATTCATTAATGGTATTTAAATCCATTTCCTTAAGAATGGATGTTGTATATTAGAATGACCATCTTGTTAGCATGTTTTTTTCTAAAATTTTGAATAATTATTTAGTAGTTGGAAAAATATGACTTAGACTGGTTTTGTGCTGGTGTAAGTCATTGTATGTTGGGAGGCTATATTTGGGAACAAAATATTCACTGTCACACAAAAGGAAGATAACCCAGATTAGTCTGGTGACCTAGTAGAGTGAACAGCCACCTTACAATATATTATAGTGCATCCTAGTGGCCTTCAATAGCTTAGACATCATAACTTACTACAAGAGAGTGTAGTAGGTGAAAAGAAAGTTTATATTTAACCTATATAACATTAATACTTCTATGTTTGCCTTCTTTTGCTAGTGCTTCTTTTACTAGTTATTAAATTATTTTGTTATTTTTCTTTTAATCTCTTATCTGTGTCATCAAAGTAAGAATTTTGAAAACACTCAAGAATGGCTATCTGAGATGTTAAAGTAAATGACATTTTTCATAATTTTATACTAATTTGGCCATGATCAAATAAACACTCAGAATACTGTATTTTTAAATTTCAAAACCACATCAATAGACTATAAATAGAAAGGTCCCTGTGAGGTCAAAATAATTTCCTATCTGAGTTATCTCTGTATTTATAATCGAGTTTTTCTGCACAGTAATACAGTAGGAAGACCTTACCTAATACGTAAACATGGAATCATTACTTTAAAAAAAAAATTAGGCTGAGATCAAACGTATTTCTTTAAAGGCTTTTCCTTTATTCTCCCCTATTCTCCATAGATTTGTCTGATGTGGTTGCATTGTGGGTTGACTCACCTGTTTATTATGATTTTCAAAAAGGCTGGCTTTGAAAATGATACCAGAAAGACAAAGTACCTCCAAGTCTTTTTATGGGACACTGGGCATTAGAAAATCTATCTAAAATCTGTGATTACCTCTTAAGGAAAGTTTTTCATGTCTACCCTTTGTAAGGGAATTAGCTTAGTTGCCACCTCATATTATAAATAAGAAAGACTTGTCAAATCTCATTTAAGAATCAAATGATTACAAATTACTATGTGGTATACTATTTCCTCCAGGAGAAAAAGGATCAGAATTAAAAAGTGTGACTAAAATCTTTAAGAGGAACACAAAAAAACACATCACTCTTTTCCCATCAGACCTGTGAGCTATTGCAAAATTATTTATGCCTGGTTATGTATTAGGTTTTGGATGTAGTTTAATAAAGTTGAAACTATTGAATATAATTATTCTAAGAACATATGCAATCTTTTTTGTTCTTCCTACAACTACATTTTTTTTTTTTTTGGCAAGATGACAGCATTATCTTAAGATGAGAATTAAAGTATAGGTGGTTTAGCATTTAGTTTTTCCAAGAAAAATGAATACTTTATGAGATTTGTTATATAATTAGCTTATATGGAAATTAAAGCTATATTGTATGGTACTTGAATACGTGTTCTATTTTACATTCTAATCAGTTAATCAGTTCCTGTTCTTTGAAAGAACATCTTAATGTAAATCAGATACCTTTTAAAGGGAATTAAGTTGCATGTCAGCCATAGTGCACTTTTTAATTTGAATGTAACATTTAATACAATGTAAAGTAATTATACGTTTGTAATTATATCCTGGATGAAATTACATTAATATATTTTTTTTCTACCAACTATGGTTTGGGCCTATATTTTTGTTTCTAACGAGTCCTTCACTAATGAGTGTGGCAATGAATTTGATTTTCTCTTACTCTCCTCCTCCGTATTTGTTGTTATGGTGGCTATCCTATGGAGTCTGGGTCTTCTTGCTATATCTTATCTTCTCTCTGCCTTAGGCTCTCAATTAGAGACACTGGCTCTTTCAAGCCACTTAGAGACTATTTAGTAGTGTATTGTTGCTGTAAGATTCTTGATAGCCCTAGTGTTCTACATGATCTCCTAAGAGTTTGAAAGAGCTCATTTGTCTTGCTTAGAATCTACGTTTCTGCCAAAGAGTGAATTAGGCTCGGGATAGAATAGAGCCCTCCGTATCAGCAAATAGTCAGATTCTGTACTTTCCCTTGGCCTTGAAGAGTATCACGTGTCCAAACAGGAACTTGTACAATAAATCAAGAAATGACTTAAGAGCAAGAGTCAGGCTAAATGGTACACATTTGTACTGTTTGTAGAGCTTAAGATGGGGTGAAGGGGTGAAGGCAGAAAACTATTGAGGGAGGCAGTTCCAAGCATAGAAAGTGTAGCTATGCTTTTTCAGTAGAGTCTAAGGGGAAGGACTAACAAAGGCATTAGTCCAAAGTGTAGTGTGTGCAGAAAAAAAGGGTAATGCAGTGGAAGGTGTTAAGTTTTTTTATTTTTGTTTTTTAAACTATGGTGTATCGGTGTATTAAGTGGAAAGGTTTTGATACTACTTTACCTGTTGATAAATGAAAATAGTGCTAGAATGTTATTGATAGCAAAATCTACTTGCATGCACAACTCATGGTATTCGGCTATCATATTTAATGAATTATAAAGTCTTTTTACTTCTCTGAACTATACAATTTATTTTTAAAAATCACGTGTACCAGGAAACATAACGTATTGTTTAATCTTTAGAGTCTTGAAAATACTGTATTGTCCTCAGAAACTGTCCTGAAATAGAAGCATTAGAATCGGGCTCTGAATGCAAATTCAAGTATCAGTTCTGTCAATTACAAATGTAACGTCAATTACAAATCCTTTACAAATGTTATGTCCCTTAGGCAAATCAATTAGCCTTTCTAAGCTTCAGTTTCTTTTTATGTAAAATGGGAATAATGTATCTTTCATACCTATCTTAAGGGATTGTTTTTTAGGATCAGATGAGAAAACATATGTAGAAGCCCTTTATAAACCATAAAACACTTTTATACCCATGTAAGGTATGCTGCTACTGCTAGGAAAAGATTGAACTTGATTCATTATAAACAAAAACAAAACAATGAATAGAAAATGGTTATAATCTACTAAAAGATTCAAGAAGAACGAAGAACACCTCTATTATACACTGATTTATGACATAATAGCTTCCATTTGTTGAATGCCTGAATCTGTCAGTCTTCACCCCTCTCCTGTAGGCAGGCATTTCACCCATTTGCATATGAGGAAATTGAAATTCAAAGATGACAAATAATTTGCCTACACAGCTAGTCAGTAAGTTACTAAACTAGAATTGAAACCCAGGTCAGTCTGGTTTAAGGTTTCACACCCATAACGTTATGCCATGATGAACAATTTTTTCCTTTTTAGTCTTTTTTTTTCATCTGTAAAATGGGAGGATCATAATAATAAAACAGTTGCACAGCACTTTTCAGTTTATAGATGGCTTCCACGTACATCATTATGTTTAGCAATATTGGTCTACTACTGCTACTATTTAGAAGATTTTCATGAGTCATAGGTTCATTAATAATTATAAATCATTTATGTTTTTATAACCTTATTTATAAATTCAGGTATCCTGGAATTCATCAGCGTGGCGGTGGGACTGGTCAGTATTAGAGGTGTGGACAGTGGTCTTTACCTTGGAATGAATGACAAAGGAGAACTCTATGGATCGGTACGTATTATTATTTTTTAATTATTATTGTCATGCTTGAAATAATGACTATCCATTTTGTAGTTAAAATGTCTACCGATAATGTCTGTAAGAAGTATATGAAATATATTTATGTAGAAATTGGAACTCTATATCCTGCTAAATTTCCATGTGTTGGGGCAATAGTATAGTAACTCAGTTTTATTTTTTATAGCCCAGTTATTATTGCCCTCAGCTCTTCCTATCGACTATCCTGAATCTTTCTAGTTTCCTCCATATTTCGATCATTCCCATCAGAGATAGAGAAAAATGGGAGCATTTTTTTTCTTTGCCATGTTAGATCCTTTCACTTTTATATTTATTTAATGCCAATTTTCTCTACCCATTATCATCTTCCATAAGTAAATGTGTATCACTTACTTGCTGACCTTTCTTGTAGGACATGAGTGAATGAAGTCTTAGGATACTGCAAGCAACAACAGAAAATGGCAACCATGCTAGTTCCACTATGCCTGCAGTCTTGATAATTACAGTGGCCAAAGGGCTCACTCCAAGTTGTATTGGGCAATTTTTAACTTGCCACTGAGGAGTGCATGTCTATGAATCTACTATAAATGTTTAAGTATAGAGCGTAAAATATACCTTTCAGGTTAATATTTCATCAGTTTAAATTTTTTTTATTTTGAACAAAGCAGCAACAGCAATACGAGAGTTAGACAATATTGTCCGTAACAGGACAATATAAAACTCTGCAGCACAATATAAATTTTTCCTCTTTCACTGTTAAAATGTTTTATTTGTTCACAGTGCTTATATACTTTTTAAAAAAATTGGTAAGGTGTACATGCATGCCAGTCTCCCACTCATGTTCTCATATGAAATTCTTTCTTAAAGTCGAAGTCTCCGTAACTATTTGCATAGAAAATTTACTTTTTATGATTTAGCAGATAACATAATCTGTTACCTTCTTCTTTTTCTTAAAATCTCAATTGAGATGACAATATCTAACTAGAATCTTAATAAACACTGAGAAATATTGGTTATGATATTTCATAAGTAGACTAATAGCTGTCTTTCTGTCTTTTGTAAGGGTAAAACTTGTTCTTTCCAGACTTTCTGTCGGCTCAGAACAAAGAGAAATAATGTTGTATGTAATAATCATAATAGTGGAATTATGATGGAATTAATAGAATTATAATGGAAAATACATGCATATAATCTTCATGTTATGTGTTGGATTAAAAGAGCAACTGTGGTCTATTCCTTAGGACAACATCTAGTCCATTTTGAAAAGACAAGAAATCATTGGGCTTTTATTACATTTACTTTAATAGTAAGAGATACAGATAAAAGATAATCATGGGGAATGTGTCATCAAACAATTAATACATTCATAAAGGGAAGATATATGATTTCAAGTGATGATCTTGAATTTGGATTTGCATCTTAGCAAGATCTTGAAATGTTCTAAGGTGTTAGTACAGGCTTACTATGTAGAGCTTGGGCATCTAACGATGGAACAAGTTAAACTGCAGGCCTACTGGTGGTGATTGTGGTAGGGTGATAATGTGGAGCATGGGAAAATTCAGAATATTTATTAAGTATTTAAAAATAAAATTGGGAATTGACATTTGACTTAAAATTGTTTGAGCTATGCTGCCAGGTGAAGTCGCCTGCAAGGAAGAATTACAGATGACATATGAACTAAAACAAAATAAAGCAGAACCAATTTAACCTTTTTCCTTCTTTGACAAGGATATAGTTATAGGCAAAGAAATAAAAATATAGACTTGAGACTTTTGTAAGGAAATGATCTCAAAGCTGTTTTTTTAAAATGGTACTTATCTTTTCTCTTTTAGGAGAAACTGACTTCTGAATGCATCTTTAGGGAGCAATTTGAAGAGAACTGGTATAACACCTACTCATCCAACATATATAAACACGGAGACACTGGCCGCAGGTATTTTGTGGCACTTAACAAAGATGGAACTCCTAGAGATGGTGCCAGGTCCAAAAGACATCAGAAATTTACACATTTCTTACCTAGACCAGTGGATCCAGAAAGAGTTCCAGAATTGTACAAGGACCTACTGATGTACACTTGAAGTGTGATAGCATCTTTGTGGAAAGACCAAACCATAACCATCCTTTCTTATCACAGTTCCCATCATAAAATAATAACCCGGGAAGACATTCAGAATATTACAGAATCTGTTTTCTACTGGGAGACTGAATTTTGAAAGACTACTGAGAAGAAAACAAGAAAAAAAAATGACTTGAAGTGGATCAAGATCACTCTTTATAAGTGGATTAAATTCCTTAGGTACATTGGCTAAGTCCTTACCAGTAGACTGAAGCTGAAAATCTGTCAAACTGTGGATAATGGGAACCCCACCAAGTTTGCTGCTGGTGCCTCTGGATTATGTTTACTTTAAAAGTTGCATTAAAAATAGATACTTCATGTTGAAGAAATGGATTGACATTGTTGGCCGAGATTGTTACTACATAAATTCTGAGGACCTTGTAGAATTTTACAAGTTATGGCATTATACGTAAAACAACAACAAAAACTTGGGTGACATGTGGACTATGAAATATGCCACATCAAGACAGAACATTTTTTAAAAGAATGGACCTATTTATACGTTTTCAATTTGAATATATTTATTATATATATTTATTTATTAAAGAGTTTATTTTTTACTGGTATATGAAGATAATACAAAGAGTAAAAATAAACAACAAAAGTTTCTATATTGTGCCATTACTTTATTGTGGTGTCTTGGGCTGTAAAGAAGACATCATTATCACACCACATTAACCATAAAATAAGATCGTGAATTTTCTTTTTAAAAATATAGTGTAGATTCTATTTTTATGCAGTCATTTGCCTTCTAAATGTAACATTGGTTCCTTGTGGCTTAGAAAAATGATTTATTGATTTGTATTGAATTCAACACACATTCAAAAGGGAATTAAACCTTTTTATTTTATGCTTTGATTTCATTGCTTTTCTGGCAAAAGTTCTTCTACTTACATATTTTAGAAATGAAAAGATTCTAAGCACCTAGAGAAAGACTTTGGTATTTAGAGAACGTCTAACGTTGAAAGTTACCAAACATGATAACAAACAACTTATGTTTACTTATTTTCTTGATCTATTGTGACAAAGACCATTACATCACAGAAAGAATTAGTCTTTGTGGCACCTCTGTTAACAAGGGTAAAGCTCTATCTACCTGAGTCTGGGATTCTTTCCATTACATCTCCCATTTAGTCATTTATTCAACAAATATTCATTAAAGGCTACTATGCACCAGACACTGTGTTGGGCACAAAGGGAAATACAGTGATCAAGACAGAGATGGGCCCTGAATCACAGAGCTTAACGTTTGGTAGGAGAGGCAGATAGTAAACAAGTAAACCAACAGAAACCATCATTGTGAATTATGATGTGTTCTATGAGGAAAACAAGTCTCAGACACAGGAAAAAAGAACAAACTTAGATAGGATGGGTCAGAGAAAGCTTCTCGAAGGAGGTGACATGATGGGCCCTGAAGGATAAGAAAGAGCTAGCCAGGTCAGGAGCAGGATAAGAACCTTCTAGGGAGAGGAAACCCTGAGTCTGGGCTCTCTAAGGCAAGAAATAAATTTGTGGTGGGAGCTTAGTGGGCGATTGGGAGAATGGCACAGATGAGTTTAGAAAGCTAAGCAGATGCAAATTCTGTAAATTGGTAAACATTCTTCCAAGGTTTTATACGTGGCTGCCTGGCAGTTGTCAACGCTACCACACTTCGAAGTAGCAATCATTGTAGGGGATGTGGCAATGACCATGGGAGCAGCTGCCACCCTTTATCAACCTGGAGGGCTGGATGAAACAGCTTGCTGGGCTCTATCCCCGGAGTTTCTGATGTGGGGATCTGGGGTGGGGTCTGAAAATTTGCATTTCTAACAGGTACCCAGGTGCTGTTGATCACACTTTGAGAACCACTAGTCTAGAGCAGTGTTTCTCAAACTTTAATGTACATACAAATCACTTGGCAGATCTTATCAGAGGATATATCTGTTAAACTATACGTGGGATTTTGCATTTCTGCAACGTCCCAGGTGATGCTTGATGCTGCTACACCTTGGAGCACACTTTGAATGACAAGACTATTGCTTTAATGCTATTTTAGTCATTCCTATTAGTTCATACTCTCACTGCTTACATAAATTAATGTTGATGTATAGGGTGGGAGAAGAGAGTTCAACATATGACTTTAATAAAGCTACATGTGGATGTGTGTATGTGTGAAGAGTTGCATGTGCACTCACGTGTGTATGGAAGAAAGTCAAAAAGATGATTTAGCTCTTGCTTTTATGAATATAAAAATAGCAAAAATGGTTTAGCGGTAGTACTTTAATCATCTTCAGAATAAAATAACTCCTATTTTTACTTTTATTTGTAAACTATAAAAGAAAAAAAATCTACTTTTGGTTTGATGCTTGACATCTGTATTTAAAGTACATGTCCTAAACCAAGCATTAAGTAAACATTTAAAGTCTTTTGCACAAATGATGCTGGTGTCTAAACTTACAACTATGGAGGAAATCATATAAATCTAAAGAGGCAGTACACTGAACAAAGATGGCCCCAAATATTGTTAATCAAAAATTTTTTATTTTTAGATTTAACAGGAATGTATGTCTAACATCATTTGTTGTGATAGATATTTGTATTGCTGAAGATATGAAATGTTATTGAAGCAATGGTTTTAAAAACTTTCAGAAACATGGTAAGTCACTATGTCTTTAAATCTTATTATATTTATCTGTTGGCATCCATTCCTGTGTCAGAAAAACAATTTGCATTTGCTGAAATTGCACCATTTGAAAAAATGGTCTATTAGGTATCTGAAGAGATTTTACTTGATACTTCTAAATGGAAGTGGTATGTGAGCATATTAATTAATTCATATATGTATGGAAAGATAAGAATAATTTGGTTTAGTATCAAATCAATATTTTGAAACAATATATCCCCAGGTTGCTAGGGAGAAACTTCACCCATTAGTTATCCCTTTTGCTTCTTTATTTTTATTTTCTTTCATTTTTAAATGTTCTATTAGTAATTATATATTAACTCACATATTTCATTCTTTCTTGTTCGGCATGTTAGCCAGTAGTGGCTAAACTTCTTTACATTTTCTGCAATGATAAGAGAAATATAAACACAAAGGAGTGAGGGAAACTCTTGGTCTGTCCAAATTCCAAAGGGTTTGGTTTTCAGGCAAATGCAATATCAAAACAATTAAGGAATTTAAAGCTATCAACCATTTGTGAGATCATAGATCTATCATAAACTTAACATATAAAAGAAAGCCATTCAGGCTATTCCATATATTACATTTGCAATGCAGTTTATGGCAATTCCCAGTTTTGTGAATTAACTAATTATCAGAAATATCTCATCTATACCAAAACTCTGACTTTAATAGATAAGTTGTTATGCTTACAAATACAGTAAGTCATCACTTAACATTGTCAGTAGTTCTTGGAAACTGTGACTTCAAGTGAAACAATGTATAATGAAACCAATTTTACCATGGACTAATTAATATAAACAAGAGTTATGTTCCCGTAGCATATTTCTGGTCACAAAAACATCACCAAACTTCTAACTAACGTCAAAGTCAAAATACAAATGTACAGATGAATCTCTAAATTTAACATTTTATTTGGGAAGCAAGAATTGCAATTCGGAGCATACACATAGACCAGGTGGCCTGCAGTATGTCGGAAGAACAAAGAGAAGGTTGGAGTTTTTATGAAAAGGAGAAATGTCACATATCATTTTGAAAGAAAGTTCATTGGCACTAGAAAGGTTTTGGGGAATTGGCAACCTCTGAGGGGTGAGTGACTGCAGTTGGGTAAAACTAGTCTCAGCAGATTGTTTCAGGAGCTATTAGATAAAACTGGCTTCAGGTTACAGCAGGCAGTTTCAGCAGCCAGGCTTGCAGAGAATTACATTCTTGGAGCAATGTTCTGAGTGCTTTTTCTCCCTGGCCTCTCAACTCTGTTTTAGCTGGCTATGACAAAAATGACCCAATTTGAATGATCGACTTTCACACTAAAGACCCAAAATACTTAAAAAATTAAAATCAGTGTGGCTTATACATACATTTAACAAAGATGAATACAAACAAGATAGTTATTTGCCCAATCTTTGGTGAATCAGTGAGTGACGGTGGTCATAGGGGTGAGTTAAATCGGTGAACAAATGTTTGCAAAGCGAAAATTGTAAGAAACACTTCCTACCCCCATGCAGTTCACAAACAATAACGAATATGGTGGGCTTGCTGAGCACTTTTTTCGTAATCACCAGTATATTTTTATTGCTGTGTAACAAATTACCGTGCACTTAGATGCTTAAAACAATATCCATTTATTATCTCACGGCTCTGTTGGTCAGAAGGCTGAGAAGACTTGTCCGGGTTCTCTGCCCAGGGTCTCTGAAATCAAGGTATCAGTTGGGTTGGGTTCTTATCTGGAAGCTCTGGATTCGCTCTAGGAAAAATCCGTTTTTAACATTATTCATGTTGTTGGCAAAATGCAGATCCTTGCAGCTATGTGTCTGAAGTCACAGTATCCTTGCTGGCTGTCACCCAGGGGCTGCTCTCTGCTCCTAGAAGCTGCTCATATTATTTCTTAAGCTTTGAATCTGTCTGATTTCCCCTTCTCCTACCAGTGAGAGAAAATTCTCTACTTTTATAGAACACACATGATTAGATTAGGGCCATCTGAATAATTTCCCTTTTGATGAATTCAAATTCAACTGATTGGTTAACCTGAATTACGTCTTCAAAGTCTCTTTTGTCATAATTACTGGTATAACATCTGACAATGTTCAGTTTTGAACATTAAGGCAGGAAGTCTCAGGGGGCTGTGTTAGAATTCTGCCTACCACAGAGACAAGACGCTAACTGGTCCAGCTTATTTTGTTAATGCTGTAGATAGTGATTGCTCCTCCTCCCTTCAAGAAAGATGAAATATTGTACCTGTTTAGTACATCCCATTGATGCCTTCAAAGATATTAATGACCCAGCAATTATTGGTTGGATTTTTCCATAAGCCCCTTTAACCACAGAGATATTCATGCTTATATGAAATATGAACATGTAACACATTTGCTCTTAAACAGAGCTTGCTCAGATAGCTTTCTATAAAGGAAGCTACTAGCATCTCTTACCCTGACACCAGAGTCTTGACTGTAATATTCAGGTGAGATTTACCAAATCAGTCACCAATAGTGGTACCTTTGGTAATTTTGGCAAAAAAATTTGAGAATAAATTAAAACTCTGGTAGAAGA